GTCTTCTCTGACCACAATGCTATGAAACTAGAAATCAATTATAAGAAGAAACCTCCAAAGCATACAAATACATGGAGGCTGAATAACATGCTACTAAACAGTGAGTGGGTAAAAAATGAGATCAAAGAAGAAATCAAAAGCTATCTCAAGACAAACGACAATGAAAACACAACAACTCAAAATCTATGGAATGCAGCGAAAACAGTCCTAAGAGGAAAATTCATAGTAATGCAGGCCTATCTAAAGAAATAAGAAAAATCCCAAATCAACAGACAATCTTTACACCTAAAGGAACTGGAAAAAGATCAGCAAAACAAGTCCAAAGGGAGTACAAGGAAAGAAATAATAAAGACCAAAGCAGAAATAAATGAAATAGGGACCAAAAAAAAAACAATACAAAAGATCAATGAAACCAAGAGCTGGTTTTTTGAAAAGATAAAATCCACAAACTCTTTAGGCAGCCTCACCAAGAAAAAGAGAGGGGACCCAAATTAATAAAATCAGAAATGAAAGAGGAGAAGTTACAACAGATACCACAGAAACACAGAAAATTGTAAGAAAATACTATGAGCAACTGTATGCCAGCAAATTAGACAATCTGGAAAAAATGGATAAATTTCTAGAAGCATACAATTTTCCAAGTCTGAACAGACTGATTACTACCAAAGAAATTGAATCAGTTATCAACAAGCTTCCAACAAACAAAAATCCTGGACCAGATAGCTTCACAGTTGAATTTTGCAAAACATTCAAAAAAGAATTAATACCAATTCTCCTCAAACTATTCCTAAAAATACACAAGAAGGGAAGGCTCCCAAGCACATTTTATGAGGCCAGTATTATTCTGATCCCAAAATCAGACAAATATATTACAAAAAAAGAAACCTACAGGCCAATATCCTCAAACAAAATATATCAACAAAATACTAGCAAACAGAATTCAGCATCACATTAAAAAGATCATACACCACAATCAAGTGGGATTCACTCCTAGTGTGCAAGGTTGGTTCAATATCTGCAAATCAATTAACATATCACATTAACAAAATGAAAAATAAAAATCATATGGTCATATCAATAGATGCAGAAAAAACATTTGACAAAATCCAGCATCTATTTATGATAAATAAAAACTCAACAAAGTAGGAATAGAAGGAGCATACCTCAGCATAATTAAGGTCATATACAGCAAAGCCACAGCTAACCTCATACTCAACAGGGTAAATTGAAAAGCGTTCTCTTTAAGATCAGGAACAGGATAAGGATGCTGACTTTCACCACTTTTCTTCAACACAATATTGGAAGTTCAAGCCACAGCAATCAGACAAGAAAAAGAAACAAAAGACATCCAAATTGGAAAGGAAGAAGTAAAACTCTATTTGCAGATGACATGATACTATATAGAGAGAACCTGAAATATTCTACTGAAAAACTATTAGAACTGATAACTGAATTCAGTAAAGTAGTAGGGTACAAAATTAATATTCAGAAATAAGTTGCATTTTTATACACCAATAATGATCTATCAGAAAGAGAAATTAAGAAAACAACCACATTTCCAATTGCATTAAAAAATACCTTGAAATATATTTAACCAAGGCGGTAAAAGACCTGTACTCAGAAAAATATAAGACACTGAATGAAGAAATTGAAAATGATACAAACACATGGAAGCATATACTGTGCTCAGAGTTAGGAAGAATTAATATAGTTAAAATGTCCATACTACCCAAAGCAATATACAGATTCAATACAATCCCTATCAAAATACCAGTGGCATTTTTCACAAAACTAGAACAAATGATCTTAAAATTTATATGTTTCCATATAAATTTGCAACCACAAATGACCCCGAATAGCCACAGCAATCTTGAGAAAGAACAAAATTGGAGGTATCCCTTTGCCTGATATCAAACTATACTACAAGTTGATAGTAATCCAAACAGTGTAGTACTGGCATAAAAACAGACACATAGATTAATGGAACAGAATAGAGAGCCGAGAAATAAACCCACATCTACTGAGTCATTTAATCTATGACAAAAGAGGCAAGAACAAACAGTGGGGTAAAGACAATCTATTCAATAAATGGTGTTGGGAAAAATGGACCAATACACGCAAAAAAAATGTGAAACTGAACCACCTTCTTACACCATATACAAGAATAAACTCAAAATGGATGTAAGACTTAAATGTAAGACCCAAAACCATAAAACTCCTAAAAGAAAACATAGGCAATAAACTCACTGTCATTACTCTTAGTGATATTTTTCTGATATATCTCCTCTGGCAAGAGAAAATAAAGAAAAAAATGAACAAGTGGGACTACATCAAACTAAAAATTTTTTTCACAGCAAAGCAAACCATCAACAAAACAAAAAGACAGCCTGCTGAATGGGAGAAGATAATTCCCAATGATACATCCAATAAGGGGTTAATATTCACAATTTATAAAGAACTCATATAACTCAACACACACACAAAAACAAACAATCCAATTAAACAGTGGGCAGAGGTCCTGTATAGACATTTCTCCAATTAGGGGATGCAGATTGCCAATAGGCATATGAAAAGATGCTCAACATCACTAATCATCAGATAAATTAATATCACAATGAGATATCACCTCACGTCTATCAGGATGGCTATCATCAATAAGTCAACAAACAACACGTATTGGCAAGGATGTGGAGAAAAGGGAACCCTGTACACTGTTGGAGGGATTGCAAATTGATGCAGCCACTATGGAAAACGATTTGGGGGTTCCTCAAAAATTTAAAAATACAACTTTTGACCCAGCAATTCCACTTCTGGGTATTTATTTTAAAAAATCCAAAACACTAGTTCAGAAAGATATATACACCCCTATGTTCATTGCAGCATTATTTTCACTAGCCAAAATATGTAACTGACCCAAGTGCCCATCAATAGATGACTGGATAAAGAAATTGTGGTGCCCTTACTCAATGGAATGTTATTCGGCCATAAAACAAGAATGAAGTCTTGTGACAATGTGGATGGACCTAGAGGGCATTATGCTAAGTGAAATAAGTCTGACAAAGACAAATACCATATGATCTCATTTATATATGGAATCTAAAGAGGAAAATAAAATAAATAAACAAAACATAAACAGACTCATAGATACAGAGAAGAAACTGATGGTTGCCAAAGGGAAGGGAGTTGGGGAGCTGGGTGAAAAAGTTGAAGGGATTAAGAAATACAAATTGTAGTTACAAAATCATCATGGGGATATAAAGTACAACATAGAAAATATAGTCAATAATGTTGCAACCACTTTATATAGGGCCAGGGGTGTACTAATCAGGGGGATCACTTAATAAATTATATAAATGTTTAACCACTATGGTGTACATCTGAAACTAAAATATTGAATGTCAACTGTAATTGAAAAAATAATGAAAAAAAAGCTAAGAAAACAGCATCATTATCCTTAAGGGATACATATTAGTTATCTATTGCTTTGTAATAATTACCCCTAAATTTAACTCCTTAAAATCATACACATTAATTATCCCAAAGATTCTGTGAATCAGAAGTCTGGGTGTGGCTACTCTGTGTCTTCTGCCTCGTGGTCTTTTACAAAGCTGCAGTCAATATGTAGGCCAGGGCTAGGGTCTTAGCTGAAAACTTGAGTCTCTTAACAAGACAGAAATCACAACGTTCTGTAACACAATCACAAAAGTGACATCACCTCACTTGTGCTATATTCTATTGATTAGAAGTAAGACCTAGTGATTTTGCCCACTCAAATAAGAGGAACAATTACACCAGGGCATGAATACTATATCCAAATATAACTTGAAATCTACATATCTAAGTTCTGACATGAGAATTTTTAAGTGCCTTCACTGCATTTATATGCTCACTGGAGTCCTTTGAATCTGGACCTATTATTGGCTTTTATTTCTTTTTAGCACAAGTAATCCATATTCTTTAAGAAAAATGTAGTTGAGTACCCAAAAAAATCACCCAGTAACCCACAAGAGATAACCACTGTTAAGTTTGTACTTACATACTTTCAATTTTAATTATGTAGTAAGTCTAAAGGTCTTTTTACATTTTCTCATCCTTTAAATTTTAATGCTTCCCTCTACTGAATTCACCTTTATGTTCTTCTAGTTATTATATTTTCTATGTAAGGATTAAGATCATAACAAATATATACACATCAGTAACCCTTTAGACATTAATGTGCATCAAAATCCCAAGGAAGCTTGCTAAAGTTGAAAGTTCTGGAGCTCCATTCAGATTTAGGGTAGGACTAGGAGTCCATTTTCAAGAAAGTGCTCACACAGGTGGCAGATTAGCATACTTCTTTAAACACTAGGATATTATTAAATGAATCTAGCGTTCCTTTGGGAATTGCAAGTAATCCCTTCTAGAAATGTAAAGTTAGATATCCAAGGTTATTTTATTTAAGGGCTGCACTGAAACAAGAACTCAAGACTCAATCATTATTAATTGTACTTTAAGTACCTACCTCTTGTCAGGCAGAAATCACAGCTTGGCCAGCAGACACTGTAGTCCCAAGGCGAGGAGGAATAATGAACTGATGAGACCTATCTTTTCGGACTCTGCTAAATATCTGAAGGGAAAATCTGAGGATAAAGGCGTCTTGCCTAATAGGTGGGGGTGGGCCAAAATAGGTTAACACAGCTCACATACTCCTGAACTCATTTCACAGTCATGTGATGCAAATACAGTCCCCAATTCATAAGGAAATCCTGGGTTTATTCATCTGGCTAAAATATCCAAACTTTGTGACCAAGTGTTTCTTAAAGTGACCCTTCTGCTTTCATAAGGGCATTAAAAATAGTTTTCATTCCTCCTCAAAATACAGATAATATAAAACAAAACACATCAACCCATCTCACAAAAATGAGTCCCTGTATTAATCATTTGGTATATTTAAGTTCAGCATTTTCTCTTCATGTATTAAATAAATATAAGAATTGAAATAAGGATAAATACAGAGATCATTTTTAAAAACTGTTTTATTAACTTCACAATATATAATAAGCATCTCTAATGCAATAGGTAAAATTTTTCTGCTAATAAAACCTTACAGACTGAGTAAAAAACACAACATTCAAGTAGAAGCTGGTAAAGAGACCCACCAGAAACAACTGACATCAAAAGGTTTACAACAAAGGTACATTATGAACATATATGTTTAGAAAGCAGGTGTCTCCCTATTAACTTGAGGGAAAACATAAGGATTCAAGGCATAAGGCAAAACTCATCATGATGGTCATGGTGAGGGGGGTCAGTGCTAACTGCCCACAGACTATGACTCAGTTGCTTTTCCCTCAGCTTTTGCCTGAGTTGTCTCATCTCCTCCCCAACCCTTTCCATATTCTCTTCTCCCATCCTTGCCCGTGGCTCTCCAAGCCTTTGAATCACATCCCATCTATACTGCAGGATGGGCTGCCTAACACGGAACCGCCTACGATTTCCTCTAGGCACACAATATTCACCAGCTTCCAAAGGGAGGGCCAAGGGCTCTCCTTTATCAGCATCTTGCTCCTTTTCATCCTTTATTTCATTTTCCTGGTTGGTGTTTTCCACTTTGATATTTTCTACCACTTGTTCCTCTTTGGACGCCATTACTCCTAGGAGATAAAAGGGGAGAGAAGGGATTGAATTTTTGGTGGACAGATCAGCACCGAGGACAGAGGCCTTCCTATTGTACTCATCTTTCAGAACTCTGGGTATCAACGGTTAGTTTTTAAATTTCATTTTTCCCACCTGAGAGGCTCCCTACACCCTCTAGGGGGCCCTCAGTTCCATCTCTCCCCCCTCCCTCTCACTACTCTCCCTTCCCTCCTCCCAAACCCACCATTTTCCTTACAGATCAATCCCCAGGCCTTGCAGGCACCAAAATGGAGGGCGGGTGATTGGGGGGGGTAGTTCTTGGGGGGGAGTCCTAGACTGGGTTCTGCACCCACCTGGGCCTATCCTTGCTGTCTCCTCCTCTTCTCGATTCTTGCCGCGAGTGCACCACCAGACAGTTGACACAAACCCACAGACCTGCAGAAGGTGGGGGTGGGGGGAGCAGAGAGTATTGCAAACTCTGCAACCACCTGCCCCCGCCAGGCCCCTTCCCAGCCCTGGTACCCTCGACCACCCCCGTCCCCGCGTCTCCCGCCCCCTTTACCCCCACCAGTTTCACCATTTTCCTGCAGAGACTCGGTGAGTAATCACTTTCCCTCCATGGAACCATACTGCCCCAGCACCGCCACACCAGAGAGGGTCACTGTTTAAGTTCCCAAGAATTCCAAGGGTGAAGGAAGCTGGCGGAGATCGCTGCGCTGATCCCCAGCGCCGGCCTCCTGGGTTGGCGGGCGGCTGCAAACATGGCCTCCGCGCGGCCCGGGACCCTTACCTGCTCCGCTTTCCCCGGGCCCGATGCCAGCCCGCCGGGCGCAGGGCAGCAGGGAGCTGGTACCCAGACAGGATTGACGACTGCACCGAAGGCTGCGTCGCTCTGCGGCTCTCCCCGTCACGTGAAGGCCCCGCGTCACCAACCAGCTCTCCCTCCAGCTCCCAGGCTCTCGGGGAGTTCGGCCGACCCTCCCCCTACTCCGCCTGCGCGAGTTCTAGTCTCTGCGCAGGACCCCAGCGCGCACCACCCTGTCACTCAGCCCAGTCTCCTCCAATTGGAGGGCCCACAAGTGGCCTCACCACCCTGCAATTGGGAGTTGCTTTTCTCTGGTTACCAGGGAAGTTCTGCATCTACCCCACCCCTCGCCCCCTACCAAGGCCTTGGCTTTGGCTTTAGCCTCTTCTTTCTTTCCTCTTCTCCCTGGCTGTATACCTGTGTCCTAATGGTTCCTCTTTACTCCCTTTTTCAAAATCAGTTCGCCTCAAAAAAACTGAAAATTATGAAATTTCATTTTTAAAACACATGCTTCAACCTGGGGAAACAAGAAACCTCATTGTTTATGTTCTCCAGCACCGCACAGAAAATATTTTCTCAGGGCTCCACACAACTTCATTTTTAGAACATTCCAGCTTGTTTCAAAATTTTATGGGAAAAAGGGGGGAAGCCTTCCTTAACAAAGTTTGTGTTTTGAAAATGATCTGTGGAGTAGATCTTCAGGGAGAAGCCCAGTTGTCTAATCTTGGCTATTTTATGAGAATAACCTACCTTTTTTTTTCCTTCTGGGACAAATTTCAAGTTTTATTAACAAACATTTATATTTTATTATATTATAATAAACATTCATTAAATATGAAAAAGCATTTGCTGATAACTGAAGCCATCTGCTGAAATTTAATGGCTAATACTAATGGTTTTGAGGCAGGTTGAGGCATACAAATAGATCTACCCATCCTTGACAAGAGGCTGGGAAGGGGCTGCCACATTCCAGAGTGTCTCATTTTCTACATTCAGGCTCCTGACTGTTGCTTACTCCAAAATTATAGATGGACAGGTGAACGAAGTACTGACCTGAGTAAATTTTTTTGGTTCCTTTCCTCCATTTCTTCCCCAAATTCCCACCTAGTGAATTACCTCCCAGATACATGGGGAGAGGGGTCTGTTCTCATACTGAAAACCAGATAGGGTTCTTCTACGCCTTTGTGGCAAGGTATTCCAAGAACCATAGAGAAGTGATTGCTGTGGAAAGATCCTCCCTAATCAGCCTGCTCTCTCCGTTTTTTCACGTTGTCCAGGTAGAAGCCTCTCTGAGACCTTTCTGCTATCTCTCACCTGGCTTAGGAAGTACAGAGTGCTGGGATTCTCACCCTAACCTCCTCACCTCCAGGATATTCAGGAAGAATCCACTCTTGCTGCAGGGTCACTATCTGGCAGTCCTTTCCCACCCTGGTACTCTCATTTATGCCAGGGCCCAAGGAACACTCTCTGCAGACCATCCTGAGTAACCTTATTTTAAGCATTCTCAACACAGAAGTCTGTGGAACCCATTAAATGTTATTCAAAATTATCTGTAGGTGTGAGGGGTGTGGTAAGATATTCACATTTTTTTGCCTGGGGAGAGAGACGATACTTCTTATTGGCTTCTCCAAAGAAGCTGTGATTCCTCGCCCCTCAAAAAGTTTAGAAGTCTCTCTATATGCTGTCTCACTCTCTCTAGTAATTTATTCTCACCTTAGACCTGCTTCTTTTTCCTTTGTTTTCTGCCTTGCTATGCACTCATTGGCCAACCCAGAACCTGGCCATTATCTTTGAATCCCTCTTCATTGTCCCTCATATTCAGTTAATAACCAAACCTGGCTGAGACTCTCTTTATATCATTTTCAAACAGCATTATGGAGCTATAATTCACATATCATAAGATTTGCCCATTTAAAGTGTATACTTCAATAGTTTTTAGTATATTCACAGGTATGTACAACCATCACCACAGTCAATTTTAGGACATTTCCATCACTTCAAAAAGAAACTCGAAAAGTACTCTTTAGCTATCACTCACCTCTCCCCCCATTTTCTCCAGGCCAAAACAATCAGTAACATAGTTTCTGTATGTTATTTCTTTCCCTATTCTGGACATTTGATATAAATGAAATCATATAATATACACATATTCTTTTGGAACTGGCTTCTTCATTTAGCATAATGTTTTCAAAGTTCATTGGCAACAATATGATTAATCATTTCAGGAACTGCCACACTGTTTTCCAAAATTAAGTGACCATTTTGCATTACTACCAGAAGTGTATGAGGGCTCCAATTTCTCCACATCCTCATCAACATTCGTTATTATCTGAAATTTTTATTCTAGCCATATGAGTGGGGATGAAGAGATATCTTGTGATGGTTTTGATTTGCATTTCCCCATTTCCCAGATGACTAATTATGTTGGGCATCTTTTCATGTTATAATTATGCTCCATTCCAATATGTGAGGTTTTCCCCCACATCATCAAGCAATTCTGACACCAGTTGTGTGTCCTACAATTCACCTGAATTCTGACACTATGTACCCAGAGATAGTAACAGATCCCACAGGTTAAGTAAGGGCTCATCTCACAAGATGCTCTCGACTTCAGTTGTCAATTGCAAATCTTCATTGTTACCTATGCTTCTGACCTGCTGGTTATAAATCAGAGGTTCTCACCAATCCCTCCTCATAGAATTCAGGAAACCAGTTTACTCACTAGATTATTGGTTTATTACAAAGGATATTAATAGATACAAATCAACAACCAAATGAAGAGATGCATAGGGCCAGATCCCAAACAAAGGAACTTCTGTCCCCATGGAGTTTTTAACTCAGCACTGCAGCACATGGAAGCATCCTAGTTCACCAACCTGGAAGCTCTCCAACCCTTCTTTTTGGGGTTTTACAAAAGCTTCTCTACAGAGGCATGTGGATTAAATCACTGGCCATTGATGATTGATTCAAATTCCAGTCTCTCTCCCCTTACTGGGAATCAGGGGATGGGTCTGAAAGTTCCAACCATCTAATACTGGTTGGTTCCCCTGGCAAGCAGTTTACCCCCCACCCCATCTTCCGGGGATATCCAAAAGTCACCTCACTAACAAACTCAGTTGAGGTGGAAAGGGCCTTGTTAAGAATAACAATAAACCCATTTCACCCTTAGGGCTCTGAAGAAATTTCAGCAACTCAGCACAAAAGACCACATATTATAAAAAAATATTCTTCTATTGCTGAAATTTCTTAGGAAATTCCAAGTTTTGGGGACTCTGTGTCAGAAACACGGACTAAGACTAAATATACCTTTCTAAATAATATCACAATATTACACATATGCTTATCAGTCACTCGTATATCTTCCTTAGAGAAACTTCTATTCAGATCTTTTGCCGATTTTTTTCATGTCTGCAGCTTGAGTGCCTATTTCCCCACATTTTCACCAACCCAAGCATTATTAATCTATTTTTATCTTTATAAATCTGATAGATTAAAATAAGTCTCATTTTATTTTTTCTATTAATTTATTTTTTATTATGAAATACACATTTTTTAGAATTAGTTTTAGCTGTACAACACAGGGCAATAGTTATACTTTTAACCCCTCGAAGTGACAACACCCCTCCCCCAATCCGCTGCCCCATTTCCCCCCAATATCATACATACCTATTACAAATCCCTTGAATCAACTCCCACACTATACTTCACGTCCCATGAATATATATATATATATATATATA